TCAAGAAGAAGACAAATACCACCTCTTCTTATGGAAGTGGATAATAATCAAGAGTTTGAGGTAGAAGAAATCATAGATTTAAGGCAACAATAAAATAGGTTAGAATATCTTGTCTATTAGAGTAGATATGATGTTAATAAATCCATATGGGAGCCAACAAAGAATCTTGCAAATGCAACAAAGAGAATTGAGGCTTTTCATCAATGACATCTATTAAAACTAAGATAAAGAATAAAAAATCTTTACTATAAAAGAAATAAGATTCAAAGAAGATAGCATTCTACCTTCTATCCTTGTTTGTAACTTTTGTATATTTATGATATTAAGGTGATAGAGAATCAACAACCAGCAGATTTAATTCAAGAGCTTTTATTTGCTGACGTATCACATGAGACATTGCAATTGTTACAATCTTCAAGGTGATGTAATCCAAATGAAGTTCCTCAAGAACAACATATCTTACCTTAAATAAATGAAAAAATACAACATATTTGATATCACAACCTTAAAAGAGACTTCTAATGTTTGGTGATTTTATTAGAGGTAGGAACAATTCTTGATAGTATTGTGAATGTTTTATTTAAAGGAAGTTACAAGGTCTCAAAAAAAATCAAGTAATAATTGATCTTTCTATTCAATTATGAAACATTATCAATAGCTGAGAGGACCTATCAACCATCTTCAAAGAAAATAAAGATTAGAGTATGTGACAAACATAATTTGCTACATCTTAGATTTTTTCAATATATGAAGATCTCTCCTCATAAAACTATATCATGCATATGTATATATATATATATATATATATATATATATATATATATATATATATATTCTAATATTTATCTATATGATTAAATAGAAGTAGATAAAAGTATATTTATTTTATAATGTTTTTAAGAAAAGTTTCTTATAAGCTTCATGGACGCTGCTTTGACTTTACATGTGTTTGGAGTTGATTGGTAGATTAAATACTTAGTCAAAAAATTAACCATGTATTGGTAGCATACAAAACAAGCTAACTATGTGGCGTACATATAGATAACTTGCCTTATAAGTTAAGATATGTGTCTTCCAAAGTCAATACATTTTGATGGTCTTTTAGAATATTGCCACATAGCTCTTAGTTAAGAATATATATGGAGGTAAGGGTGAAGCCTTCTTCACTCTTGTGAATGCCTTTGTAGTCTTTAGTCTTGTTTCAAGTCTTTTTAGTCTTCTTGTTTTTCGCAATAGCCATTCTAGTTCAATACTATATCATCTTTGAGTGATTTTTTAGTTCTTTTCAATAATATAAGAGTGTATTGAGTATTTTTTTTTGAGATTCATGTCCTTGATACTAATACAAGAATAACTTATATGACTTAGACTTCAATCAAAAAAGAATTATTCTCATTATAAAAAAAGAAAAAAAAAGCTTCATCTCTAGTATGAAGAAATGAGCTACTTGAAGAATATAAGCATAAAATTTCTCAAAAATCATTCATTAGTTGAAAGACTTTTAAAGTTTCATAGAGAACTTAAAACGTATAAAGATTACATGAAAGATTGATAAAGCAGAGAGAAGCTTTTTTAAAAAAACACTAATAGAGAAACCATGCATTTCAAGCTAATATATTTTGATATGTGTGGTCTAATATCAATAACATCACTCTCAAGATCTAGATATTTTTTAACATTTACTTAAAACTATAGTAGATTCATATAGATATATTTTTTTAAAAAAAATCTTAAGTGTTGGAAAAAATTAAATATTTCAAAGAAATAATTGAAGATTATTATAATTTAGAAAATATAGGTATTATCAAATCTATTAAGTAGAAAAAATATATTGGTCATAAATTTTTCATATTTTATAATTCAAATGGAATCAAGATGCAACTATTCAAATAGACTAGCTATAACAAAACAACATCTCAAAGCATAAGAATAAAATACTCCTGAATTAAAGATGTAATATATTTTTTGGAGTTAAATTATAAAATTACCTATGAAGTAAAGAAATGAGTATAACAAACTATATAATAAATAAATCATCTATTATAACAAATAAAAACATAATATCTTATTATATATTCAATGGTGATAAATCCAAAATCAATTATATTTATATTTTTAGATATAAAGAATTTTTTTTATATTAAAAAAAAGACAAAAATAAGTTTCAACCTTTATTACATTGATGTATATTAGTTGGATTTGATGAGCCAACAAAGACATATTCACTATAAAATCCAAATGTAAAGAAAGTTTTGATTTTACAAGATATGAGATTTAACAAAAAAGTAGTTGGAATTAAATCTTAATTGAGAAAAATAAAAATAATAAACAATAGATTATCAACAATGCTTTCAATGCATTACAAATACTAGTACTAGATAAATATTTCAATCTAAAAAGTCAAGAAAAATTTAAAAAATAAATTTTAGTGTATAAACAAAGACAAAGAATCAAAAAGAAATTCAAGAAATAACATTACACATCATAATTTATTGATGAGTTTAGATGCATTGTCTAGTTTGAAAGACAAATAATCTACCTTATTGATATAAGACCTACTATTCTTAAGGCCAAAACTTCTAGTAGATAAAAAAAAAAAAATCTTTTAAGAAGATTCTCAAGGATTAAATGATTCCTAAGTAAAGACAATGACTTCTTTTTATTATTATCAAAAGCAAAACCTATCATTTTTAAGATGTATAATTAAATCTACTATGAATAATAATAATAAAATTAAAAATAGAATCTATTGACAAAAATGCAATGTGGAAGTTAGTGGACTTACCATCGCATAAAGTAGCAATCATAGCAAAATGGATTTATAAACTAAAAAGAGTCAAGGATAAAAAAAAATGAACAAGTACAAAGGTAGACTAATAAGTAGAAGTTTCTAGAAAATTAAAGGCATAGACTTCAAAGATATATTTATATTTATAATAAAATGGTCTATCATTTATTCTATAATAATTATAATTGTTCAAAGAAGATGAAATATTTAGCAACTTGATACAAAAATTATCTTTTAAATGATAAATTTTTCAAATAAATTCATATATAGTAGCTAAAACAATTAATCATAGAAGGGCAAGAACATAAGGTTTGTAGACTAAAAAAGACGTATATAGACTAAAACAAGCCTTTAGTATGAGAAGATTGACAAATACTTATAAGACATCAAGATGGTAAAGAGTAGTTATGATTACAATCTATATTAGATATGATGAAGAAAGAATATCATTGTCCTTATCATCTATTTTAATGATCTTCTCATCAACAAGGATGACTTTAACAATATAACATGGCTTTGAACTCAGCTTGAGTAAAAATTTAAGATATCAAGTCTATGATAACAAAGTTGATATTTGGATATAAACTTTCATAATCTTCCTTATGGTGTTTTTCTGAGCTAAGAAACTATTCTACTTGACCAATACAAGATCCAACATCCAACTAGCTATCGGAGTAGTCAACCAATTCTTCTTATTTCTACAAGTACCATATATGAATGCAGTTCAACAAATTTTCAAGTATGTCAAAAATGCCTTTGATTTTGAATTACTTTATTTTAAGAATACTAAAGAAAAATTAAAAGGATACATTAATGCTGATTAGGCAAGTGACACTAAAACCAAGCAATAAAAAATCAGCTTTATGTTTATTTTAGAAAAATCACTAGTCTTATAAATGAATAAGCAATAGACTATGGAAGCATTATTGTCAATTGAAGCTCCCTATAAGGAGAAAAAAAAAATATATATATATATATATATATATGATTAAAAATCTTTCTAACAATATAGGGATAAAGTAAGAAGGGCCGATTCTTATATACTACAATAATCAATCAAGTATCAAAATTATGCAAAATTCAATATTTCAGGCTTGCACAAAGCATATGGATATACAATACCACTTTTTGTAAGAAGAAATTCTTAAAAGGCTAGTAGAGCCAATTTACGTACCTACTAATGAATACATTTTTGATATCATGACCAATCTACTGGAACAACTCAAATTTAAGTACTTTAGAAAGAAACTTAGAATTTAAAGTCTATATAATTTTTAAATAGAACATAAGTAAACATTACTCTTATCAAACCATAGATTCTATTTCTTTTATGTAATAATAATAATAATAAAAAATATATATATATATTATCAAAAATATAAATATCTAATCTAGATTCATATTTACATATATATGAAACTATTTTAAGAAAATTATAAAAAAACCTTAGATAATAAAAAATATAAATTATTGGCCTTAGTCTTTAATTTTTTAGTCAAAGAGGGTTGTTTTCTACTCAACCTCTTTAATGATCAATTAAAACCATGTTGATCGATCTTAAGGATCTCTAAAACTTCCCATTCAATAATAAAAAAAAATAAAGTTGTATCAAGTGCAGCTTAACTTTTGCAAGCACCACAGCATTGAATGACTCAATGGCAAATTAAGACAAGGACATATTAATTAAATGACATTGGAATTAGATAATAAGGGCATCAAGTCTTCATTGTAACTTTCAATTAGATTAACTAAAGTGGAGTTGATTTCTTCTCTTAATAGCTCATCTTTCGCATCAACAAATTCTTTGCTATTAGATCTATTGGACTCTTTATTGTTGGATTCATTATGCTCATCAACAAGTAGCTTAAGAAATAGAGCACTGATAAAGACAAAGATGTGGTTGCACAACTTCTTCACTAGCAACCAAAAAGTCTATGCAGCCATCAAGAATGATTACCACTATGAAAAGAAGCATCACACTTAAATATTAACTTTAAGCATTTAAAAAGGCACCAAATAACATGAAGAGTTGACAAAACACTTACAAGTGTAAAATGCTTAAATACACTTTGGAATGCATCAAAAGCTATAGCAAGCTTTAAATAGATTGACATGATCAACTCTAATAAGTGAAAGAATCTACTAAAATAGAACTCAAGTATTAGATAGTTAATTTTTAAAACAATAAGAAAATAAGATATGAAAAGAAGTATTGAGTAATGTAGTATATTTCATCTTTTCATCTTCTAGATGAAAAAAACCTATAGAATCATTCATCCAAGTAATAACCTATTATCTAAGAAATAAGACATTGACATGTCCAAAATAAAGTAGTGATGGAGCTTAAGCATAGGATTTTCTTTGTAAGCATAATTAATGTATTAGGACCTGAGAAATTAGTATAAGATATGGTGCCTCTAATGAAGAAATGGCTAGGTGTTTCAGCTATTATTTAATAGTAGAGAAAGCTGATCCTATGGATGATTTTGCAGCAACTTTTAAGAGGTCATCTAAGTTGCATAAATTTTGAACGTCCTTCTTCGTATAATACTTGATCAATACAGCAGCTAATTCGTCTTAGAGTGTTCTACTTCGAAATTCAAGAGGGCTGCGTCCTTGAATCATATTTATTCCACCCCTGCTGGACCATTAGATTAAGGTTTGGTAGTCGGCAATGACCGATTGTACTCTGTTCCTGACAGCTAGTGTAATGTTCCTGGTTCAGTTGATGGACGCTGCCCATCTCTCGGATTGGGCAGTAACGCATGTAGATTGATGAGAGGGTGAATGGCACCCTAAGTCATCTGAGAAGGCAGATATCACGGAGTATAACCTCCGATCCATTCAGGTGATAAATCAAGCCGTGACCATCTCGTTCTCATTCTGTTGTTATTGTACTAAAAAAATTAGTCTTACTCAGCAGACTTCACAAACCGGGTGCGAGGCCCGGAACACAATGTAATAATCTTTTAACAACTGACAGGTTTTATGCGGTTTCTGCTCATGGTTCCTTTCTTCTTTTATGTATGTGTATCTAGAGAGAGAGAGAGAGGGATGATTTTGATTCAAAATTATAATTACTTCAAAATCAGTTTTATCGCAGAAAATTACTATTATTGATAGATTTACTTCCCTGTCCACTCACCTCTAGTTTTAATTCGAAGGTTCCAAGTTGTGCCGTGATGCAGGCGATTGAGTAACATGGACACATCACGAGTGATACCCATGTAAGTAAAACTCCAACTCTGCACATCCAGGCCTGAATTAGGTTAGGTTCTCTTTAGCATGTGTTATGGTCTTTAATTTGTGCCTGCGGCACTTACATGTTTCATGGTTGTTATTTTTCAGACATGTGGCATTTGTAAGCACATGTACGTGTGCATAAGCTGAAGGTAATGAAGTAACAAAAGAAATCATGCGAAATAACAAAAGATTTCAAAAAGTAAGGCTTTTGTCATTATACGAGACTGATGCAAGGAATGTAAATAGAATTTCCCGCTTGCTATCATTGGTGACCTTAAATTATTTTGGTTGCTTTCACAAGTTAGTGGACACTCAGATTATGGCCCTCAACATGATTTGATGCAGCCTATAAGAACGTGTTGCCATGCATGTGGAATGGTCGCCAACAACCACGCTTTCTTTTTGTACGAAAGTTCTTACCAGAAACAGCGGAGCTCCTGCTTGAATTGCTGCAAAGAAAAATTTGGGGAATGCAACTACCGGGCTCGCAATCTGGAAACATTGGGTGATGTTGTCAGACTGAGAAGTTTAGATTCAAGAAAACTGTCCCTTTGTTCAAAATTGTATTTGAAGAGGCGCATCTCAGCGTCAAAAGAGCACTTTCAACAACCGTCACCTGGAGCAGTTCACACATGAGCTCACAGCAGAACTCTAAGTCTCAAGTAAAATAAGATGTGGATTCGAAAAGTTACAAAATATAGTTGGCAAAAGAAAGATTACTAGCTCTGTTGGCTGCCTTGAGTACATCTGTCTTTGAAGAGTTAAGCGTAAGATAACTCATCTTTACAGCGATCTTCATTTGTCGTCCATAGAATCCAACTTTTGGTAAAGAAAATCAGTCTCTCCGTGACCTGTCGAACTGCCCACATGAGAATAGTTCTTTCGATATATGTTACAAAAGCATTTTCTGCAAGTAACAGTAGCTGCGAGTTCATCCTTTTACGGTCCAGTTGATACTTTTAATCTCTTATGCTTGACTTGTTACACGTAGATGAACACTGTAAACCTGGTGAGGACGATGGAGTTGAGGATTTCTAGTGCTCGATTACTTGGATATAATTAATGCGATTACGTTTTCATCTCTAAATCTATTAGTGGATCATCTTGTCTAAGTGTGTTCATCTGGAACCTAGGTTGGAAAAGATCCCTGGGAAAATACATTTGCTCAGCGCAAATATTGAAAACTTTTCATTGTTTACTTTGATTGTTGCTTTCCCCGTTGTGCTTGGAAAACGGTTTTGGTCCCAAAAATTGAAGGCTATGTGAGATCTTATACACAATGAGAGCCCATTGCTGTGTTTATATTCTCTTCGCAACTCTTTCTCAATTATTTTCTCCCTTTTAGGACCATTGCTGCACCGATTAAATTAAATCTCTCCATCCAGATAGTGTTCAGATCACAGTCTGACATGTGGATTTCTACTGGTATATGGTCAGGTGAAAACAGATAATACAAGGCCAATCAAGTACCTCATCACATGCGTACCTAAATAGAATGAAGAGACTATGGTAGCACTGCTTGGATCAGCACACGGACGAATGTGAGCGTCATGCGAATTCTACGAACACATATTAGCAAAATGGTTTTTAGTAGCTTGGCCGTATAGAGTTGGAGGAAAAGCTGTCGGGAGGCGAATTTGTCTTACTCTCCCATTGCAGCGAAGTTCTGACCTCCCATCCCTGAGAAAATTGGGCTCTCAACGTTTTGAGAGCTGTCACGTGATATGTCATGATGCAATTCATTGCATTCTTACCGAAAGGAGACTTCATCAATTCCTTTCCCAGACTGACGCCGCTTTAAAGCAATTTTTGGACCCTAGTGTGAATAAAACGGACGACTGCAACAATTGTGTCAGACTTTTCCCCTGCCAGAGATTTACCCAGGCTGCCAGAATCGACCCCCCATGCTCACCCACAGATGCCCTCAGGCCAGAGACATTAAAAGGTCCGTAGAGCTCTCTTCACACCAATCCTGAAAATCAGAACCCCAAATTCGCAATACCAGTTCAGCCCAGGAGGCGTCTATAAATGAACCCATGTGCAGGAAAATGGGACGCAGATTTTTTTTTCTTTTTTTTTTAGTGTTTCTCTTCCGCCTTCATCCGGGACCGCCAGCTTGTTACGAGAGTGATAAATGCTGGGTCCATCCCAGCGAAGCGAGAACTGTTCTGTGCACAGTTCAAACGGAGCTGGGGCCAACCGCTCCACCCATATGCTCGCATTCTAAGCGCGTCGTGGTTCACATGGCAAAGGATACGATTCGTTCTGTGCAGCATGAGCATATCCACACTGCATCCCAAGAAGGTAAAACCAGGTCGAAGGATTCCAAACTGCTATGGACCTTGGCACTGCAACTCAGGGGTCCATAAAACCACGAATAACATCCTGGCGGAGCATCCGATTCACCGGCAAGGAGGCTGGCTACTCCACCGTGCAGTTCGAGTCTGCGAGCATTTCTCGACGCTGCCAGCCCACACAATTGCCGGTGGCGATGAAGAAGGATCCCCTCCTCGGGAGATGAGTCCCCACCTCCTCCGCCGCATCCGAGAGCTCTGTGCTCTGCGAAGCTTGTGATTGGGTTCATGCGTCCAAGTATTGCGATGCTCTGGGGACCGATCATCGCTAATGCGGCGACATCGATCCATCGCCAAAGCGGCGGCACTCAAGTTCCCGCTCTGCTTGCGTTGCCGAATTCTCGTCTAACGTTGCGACACGCGATCGGCGAGGCGATCGTGTCCGATCTAGACAAAGTCAGCTCGTATTGACCCAACTCCTCCAGAACCTATGGATGCGGGCATTTTAGGTTTGTGAAAAAAAATATTTATTTTTGTTAAAAAACAAAGGAAAACACAGACGGCCAACATCCATTAACTGGAAAAAGAAACGAAAAACTATAAATAAAAACCAGCGTGAAGCTTTTGTGCATGTGTTGGTGTGAAGTGTAATAGTCTTTTAAGTTTTGATTAATGCTTTCTTGTGTGCTTGTATTTCAGTAGTTTTAACATATTTTTTGTTATTGAAAGTGAATGATGATTATTATAAAATATTTAAAATGGGGTTTAGTTAATTTTAAATACAGTATATAGTAGAAATGTACAATTGGATCAAATAAGTTTTATTTGCTTTTCAATACAGTAAGTAGTAGCAATGTATAATTGGCTCACAGACTTGCTGATTTATGTATAAATTTTGATTTTGTAATTTTCAAATATAATATAATTTAATTTTAATTTAAAAACACAAAACTTTTGTATACCAAGTTTTCAAATCTTAAAAATATGTTCATTGAATTTTTAGTACTGATAATATTAATAGCATTATATACCCCAGTGACAAGTTTAGCATTGTAAAGTGGGTATAAATATGTAACAAGTACCCTTGTTGAAGGAGTTGTAAAATTATAAAACTGAAATAAATAAGGTATCATTAGATAATCAGATCAGAAAAGTGTTGTGTCTCATTCATTGAATAATTACCAAGGAATTTGTGAAATTGTTGTGACGAAAAATTCAACTGTATCAATGTAGCCAAAGCTTATTCAAATATATTAACTCAAATAGTTGTTTGTATTAAAAAAAAAAAAAAAAAAAAAAAAAAAAATGTAATAAAAATTTGATTTATTGTAAAATTAAAAAGAAAGATGTTGGAACAAAGATTAATTCTAAAATAAAATTAATGGCTAATCTTCTTGCTAAAGTCAGTATTGAAATATACTATTTATGGTGGTAAAATAAGTACATGAAATTCCTTATTCAAACTGTGATATATATTTATTTTAAACTAATTTTCATGTAAATAACCAAAAACATATATATATTTTTTGAATTACTTCATTTCAAAAAAAATATTAATATATATATATATATATATATATATATATATTGTGCACACAAAATGCTGGAAGATAAAGCACAGAGTCAATTAACTGAAACCTTAAAAAAAAACACTAATTTATGTTGTGTACTTGTTACTTAGAGATTCAATTGTATTTCATCAATTATAAATATATTATTTTAGTACTGGTGCATCATAATATATAATAAGTATTTAAATGGCTTCGAGATTTTATATTAAATCATAATAGTATAAGGTTTTTGACTATCAATTTTTTAATTTAAAGACATAAAAAAGTTAGCATAAATGTTAGTTATACTATTAATAGTGTTTTAAAACTTATTATATTTATTTCTGTTATTATTCTTCCCAACTTATAAAAAAACTAAATTTTTATATCCCTCAAATGGATACACAAAATTAATTAATTAATTAATTAAATTACATTTTTTAATTACAATTTGATTATGGTATAAGTCCTATAGTTAAAAATAATAATTTCTTAAATTTAGACATTGCATTTTTCTCTAATAAAGATCCTAAATGCATATCTTAACAAACATATACAGTTCTTATTTACTATATCATAGCATAAATCTTTTCTACATTTTGGTTTCCAAACCATCAAATACATCTTTAATACACAGCAGTAAAAAAAAAACTTTAATTTTATTGAATTTTCAATTTGATTGTAAAAAAATTTCACAAATGAATATATATATATATATATATATATATATATATACTTATTTCTTAAGAAAATACAAAAATAAAAAATAAAAAATATCCAAAATTTTACAAGATTTCTACAACACAAATTAATTGATTTTAAAAAACATATTTATCACAGTTTTTCACAAACTAATTTATATTCTAAAAAAAATCGTAATGATCAAACAAATATAAGATACTATGTGTAGAAGTGTATAAGGGATTTTCTTCTTATCTTTTTCCTTCTCTCTCTCTCTCTCTCTCTCTCTATATATATATATATATATATTGTAAATAGAATAGTTTTAAAGTGTACATTTTAAATCCTACATCCATTAATAGTTTATTTTTAAAAATTCGTTGTCTTTAAGATACACACATGCTACATATATATATATAAACATGTCTATGTGTTATAAATCAAATATTCTAAAAAATATATATATTTGTGTCATTGAAACACAACTATGTATGGTTGCTTTTATTTCAATTAAAATATGAAAAACTTATTTGATGCAAAGAAGATTTTTATTTTAAATAGTTTTGATTTAAATGTAATACTGAGTAAAAAGAACATTAATCATTATGATTTTGCAATGAATATCTCATTCATTACAAATAATATGATATTTAAATGATTGAATAAATTGATTTACCTTAATCTAATATAATATCTTTTTTAAAAAATAAATTAAGATAAATAAAATATAGATCAATAAGTTATGTTTTCTATGAATACATTAATATAGATCAAGAAAATTTTGTTGTGTATGAAATATTATTCATCAAATCATTTGTAGGATATTTTGTATCTATTGTTGTTAAATTTTGCAAGAATTATTTATAAAATAACTAAAGTGCTATTATAAAGAACTTTAACTCAAGATAATATCAACTTGAGGTACTTTGTATTATGTTTTATGTGAAAAAAAATTAAAAAAAAATAAAAAATCATGGTATTTCATGATGTTAATTGAACTAGAGATATTGAATTTTTAATGTTGACATAGAGTAGAATGATCTTTTGAGCTAAATTTTAATTACATAATATTTTATAAACACAAGTAGGTATTTTTATTTATTACAAAAAATATATTTATTCCAACAATTTAAAGAACCAAAGAAATAATAAGACCCTATAAATTATTTTTAAACATATGTATTTATATATACATACTCATTTTTGAAGATATATTATTTTAAAACTTGTCTATAATCCAAAGTTTTATTAAAATATTTGATGTATCAAAAACCATCATTGTTTTACCTAAAAACAATTTTGGACATGATGGATTGATTTCTAATGTACTACTCTAAATTTACAACTAGCTAACATGTATACAAAAAAATACTTTTCCATTAAATTCCAAAAACATGTTTAATATTCGTAGGAACTTCAATTTACAAACAAACCTCCAAATTTCATTTCACAAACTAAGTGGGAGATTATTATTGCATTCTTCAATGACTTACTTCAATAAATCAAAACATCAACAATCAAGGAATGCAACTTACAGGTAGCAACCATCTTTTGAGTTATTTGTTCATGGAATAAGCTCAAAGATATTCTCATTTGTTGCAAATATTTGTTCACATACCATCCTTCTCAGAATAATATGCATGTCTTATAATCAACAAAAATAGTTTTAGGGCATTATATTTTATGTGTGTATCTTAGATATCAATTCTTGGACAAAAACAAATTCCATAAATTGTTTTGATGGAATGAGTAATTGGTTCATTGCTTATTTGAGAGAGATACATTAAATTGCAATAATGCACTATTTTCATGTAAGTGGAGTGTGTGGATATAAGTGTAAGTATATTGAAGTGTGTGGGCATGTTGCCTCATCCACATATTTACATCCGTAGGTAGTTTGGTCAAATTAATAGAATGCCACACATCACGATTTTTGGAAAAGTTGGATTATTGGTTTTATAACCCACCACTAGTTGGAATTAGGTAGGTCGATATGTCCAAAATGGGTCGAAGAGAATCTTTAGCGAAAACATTTATATAAATTCCATTTTTGAGCCAAGTTGTGACGAGGGACTGGCTGAGTGCCTCTTCTGAATCCTCCTGATTTCTATTTCCATACATGGGTTTTTTTAAATTTTGGCACCTGCTAAATATAATACACAATGCTTAAGTTATCGGAAATGGGTTGTCTACCTTTCTACTACTTTTCATCAGAAATCTAGGCATGCAAACTGGGGTTGATGCCGTGTTTAGACTGATTGATGGGTAGATAGATAGATGGAGAGAGAGGAGGACGAATGGAGGGACGCCCGAGGAGGATGATTTCGAACCTGTGGTCGCAGAGTGAGAGAACCAGTCATCCGCGTGATGCAGCAACAGTAGCAGCTGTTGCTCACACCGAGAAGGGCGGGGGACCGTTATCCAGACCGACGCATCGGACTGTCCTTTGCATGATTAGATGATAAGATATAGGAGGGGTGGGGAGGGAATCAGGGACGGAGCTGCTGCGATGTGGAAATCAGAAGAGGCACGCAGCCAGTCCCTCATCATGTGCGCAGTGCTGTAGAGACCCCAGGTGCCCAAGTGGCCGACTTACGGGGCCGACCGATCTCGCGGGACGCACGGTGCCGCGCGCAGCACGAGCTTCCGTTGTTTAATACCACAGTGCGCTGGCTTTCCCGAAGAGGAGGTCTCGATGGGTAGCCCCGAAAATCCATGAGTCAGTGGACTTGACAGTTCATTCAGGTTATACAAGCATAAAATAGTGCAGAATAGTCAGTCGATGCCTTGATTATGCTCCAGTCACCTCTGGTAAGCCGGGGCATGTCGCCGTGAACGTATCTCACGTGGCCAGTGTCGCGGGATTGTACTAGAAACTGACTGAGTGTATAAGTAGAAACTGTACGATGGGAGCCAGAGTATCTGGATTGGAGTGTTTTTTCAGTAACTTTGAATGCTGTCTCACTGTTGTCTTTGTCATCAATTCTAGGTGGGATGTGCATGTAGATGTCTTCGGTTAGTATTTTTTTTTACGAATGTTGTTATTGCATTGAATTGACCAAGACTCTATCTTTTCTGAGCTGTTAATCCGATGAATGACTCTAATTGTGCTCCAACATACCACAATTGGAAATGTGTCAAAGAATTCTCCTTCCTTTTCTTGATAACGTAATCCAAGTAATCTTGCATACTTCTTAACTGGTTGTCTGCTTTTGTCTCTTTCTATTTTGAAGATCCATTTGGCTTGAATGGCTTTTTCTACAGGAAGAAAGATTGTATGTTATCCAAGTTTTGTTTTTCTATAGCAAGTCTTTTTTTCTTTTTTCTTTTTTTTTTGGATTGATGCACTCCATTTAGGATCCAAAACTGCTTCTTCGTAGTTAAGTTCATCTGGTTTGGTGATCAATGCATAGTAGTCTTTGAATTATCTTGGGGGTCTTCAATTTTGAGTTGGTCTAGGGTTTGATGTCAAATATTGAGTATTTAAACTTTTCTTCATCGGTTTCCTGCACGACTTGGTTGTCTGTGCTTGGTTCTAATGGATTCACGATGTTAGGATTTTCCAGTAAGATACCCTGTTTGAAGCTGATGGATTGTGCTGGTGGGCTTATGTTTGTGAGTTCCAAATGTTGGTTTTTCTACGTGTGAGGACAAATCAAGAGCTTCATCTTGCAAGTGAATTAGATTGTTTTTTTATAGGTAGATTCAATTTTTCAGTCACAAGAAGAGGAAATGCTAGGTCCTTAGGAATCTGGATCAGAGGTAGGTCAGTCAACCCCAATTTGCTTTATTTGCATATCACATCTCCACTTTATCATAATTTTTCTTTTAAGTGGGTAAAATAGTCTGTCAGCTTTGCCATTAGAATCATAACTCTTAAAGAGACATTGAATAGTCTTTCTTTTTAGTTTGTTTTGTTTTTGTTTTGGAATACGTGAAAAGGCAAGGCAACCAAAACTAAGGAAGTTTAACAAAACACCAACAATACAATCAAGACTACATCCTATTTTACATTCGTGATTAGTGTCTTGACTGTTCGAGCTTAAGTACAGATCAGCAGCGGGTAATCAAAGTCTCAGTTGTTCAAAATTAGGGCTATGGTAACATCTGAACAAACTAAGCTTGGTACACGTGTCGTTATCTCAAGATACGATCGAACAGTGATTCTCTCGTCCAAAGTGCTGAAAGTTCTAGAACAGAACGTGGATGAGTACGTTTCATTTTAACAGTAAGGTGTCAAAGTGTACTTCTAGCAAGTTTGTGCTAGTCAACTGGGTGACGGTTCTGAATCCAAAAAATAAACACTCACTTGCAAGTATGCTATTGCAAAATGTCAACGTCCGTAATTTCTCATTCGGCACTGAAATAACTGCATTGATGAATGGTGTACCCTTGATTCATAGCAGCTCCTTCACACAGCAAGCGGGTTGTAACCAACATGCGAGTGCAGTTTACAGATGGTGGTGACCAAGAGATTTATCGGTGCTGACAACATCAGAGTTCTAAGGGAGGCTTCGTGATGTTGGTAATGATCAAACGCTGTGCCCACCACGCTTTCACTACTAGCTGTGGCAGTAAATCTTGCGCAGAACTGATCCATTCACGAAGATGACTTGCTTAATCGTAAGTATTAGAACGTCGTCTTTATGATTGTTTTGTGTATCTCATTGACTGTTCAGGTGTCGGTGTGTTACGCTCTCTCCACATAGATAAGTATCAAGTGACATCCAAAATTTACTTCGGCTACACTGAGTGAAGGAAGGGGATGTATACAATCATGTATTGTTTATTTCTCTTACCGTTTACTATACTATTGTTAACGTGGACATTTGATTTTTAAGAGTTCGTTGCACGTTATTACAGTTACAAAAGATGAGCAGTGGTACTTAAAATACAGATGATACAAATCGAGATTTGCAGGTAAAGATGTTTCAATCCATAGAAAATGTAATTGATAATATTCACATTGCACAAGAGTTGCAGGCCCTTAGTTTACAAATGTGACCAAACGGACGTGCATTATAATAAACTTATAAATTTTCCTACTCCTCCCAACAAACGTGCGCAAATGCATCACATAGGAGAGTTTGGATGGTGTTCGTTGTTTCTAACCAGATTCAAAAAAGAATCCGCTGCCTCTCAACTCCTCCAATGATTGCTATAAATCAAGCCCGATACAGTGGAGAAAATGAGAGGGGGCAACATTCTGGATCGGTAGAAAAGGTTCATATGTACAACTGATGTTTTAAGTATTATGATAATAAGAGTGCTGAATCAGACTATCTGGAAATTTACTCATGGAATGTGACGCTCATGCAAAACAAGGCTGCTTGAGACTAAACACTTACTGTACACTGGGCTTGGATACTAGCTAATTCAGTTTCGACGCCTTGAAGGTCATGGTATTTCCCAAAAAGATGCAGTGTACAACTGAGGATGGAGCCGGACCGGTGACGAATAGGTGAGCATGTCATCAGGGAAATTGGCAATTCCACCGGCTAACTCTCGAGACTCCAGCACCAGTGCAAACCATGGACTAGCATTGAGCAGCTAGTCCGATCCCTGAAGCGCACATTTCAGTGCAGCAACAATGCCACTCGTTGGCGCCGTTGCTTCTTGTGGCTGAAAACAAAACACACAACGATACATGATCAGCAAAGTTGCTATACCAAAACATCCGAGTCACAAATGTTAATACAACACATCCAGAATGCAGTGGCAACCTTAGGGCGCCCAGCAACGAATTTGATGTTAACAATTGAGTTTAAAAGTAAATTGTGAACTGAAATACCTAGAGCCGCTAGAACTAAATTCATTGGAAAGTGAAAAAAATCTCGTAGTACAGTCTCCAAGGTAACAACGATTAATATGCCACAAATAATTCGCAAGCTGGAAATTCAGGACAGTGCATTGACCTTCGCTGTAATGACGCATATGAGACGATGTGCAATTTTAGTGAAGCTGCATTGCTTAACATCCAGGCTCAGGCACTCCAGGCACTGCAGGATGTTGCTTTGAAGGCGGGGTTGCGGCTTGCACACCATCTCGATGACCACCTGGTTCGGCAAGTCAGCATGAACCTCCACTTTCTCCAGACAGCTTCTTAGAAAAGAATGTATTCTGCTCAGCTCCTCTTGGGAGATGGGGGGTTTAGGTACTACTGTCTGCTTCTCGTTCTGTTTACTAGGGCTTCCAGGCTGCACACTCATAATAAGCTCTTTTCGGCAGGAAGGGGCTGTGTTATCCTTAGAAGTAGTGGCAGCGGATTGTATCAACAACATCTTCCGGTCCTGGAGTTCCTTGATGCGATGATGCAGATTCTTCACGTACTCAATTGACTCGTCGACTATGGTAGACCTGTCGCGCTGAAACCACACCATGGAGGGAACCCAGAAAAAAAAAAAAAAAAAAAAAAAAAGGGTTAGATAAATTAAACAATTGTACTAAAAACAAATACGAGTGTGCTGTGAAAAACACTCTCCCATCATTTTTCGATGTCAGGAAATGTAAGAATCGCTGCGGAGATCTACGAAGCCACAAAAACTCACATGAACTCTACTAAACAATAGCTACTTGCACAACAGTAACTGGACACAGAAGACTAAATGAGACCTCTCGCATTTCACTCCGGGGTACGCAACACGATCACTCCTCACAAGAAGGGTTCACTCGTCACACTGAAGGGTTGCATGTATTCACTTTTGTTCCAATTGGTAGTAGGGATTCCAGGATCGCAAACTTGCTGGTCATATCGTCCCTCCGTTGCCGCTCTCGTAGAATATGATCGGCTTGCTCATTCATCCGTTTTCCCTTCGGACCAATGGACCTGGATGTCTTATCCAACTTCTTCCAGGGCTGCATGTCAATCTCATTGTCGAGACTCCGCCCGCGTTTCAATCCATTTCGCGATGTCAAACCTTCACCACCGTCCCGTTGCTCTGTAGTAACCTGAGATTGCAACGAAGCAGAAGGCAGACCGGGCACGTGTGACGACCCGAGCTCCACACTCGAAGTTGAAGAAAATAGGGCATTACTGACAGGCTCGTAGTCGTGAAGGTTCTCATGATCCACTACTGGAGGCAAGTCGTCGAACAAAATGCCCCGGTCGATATCAGGCTGCGAAAACCCCAACGACGCCAACCCGGCGTATGAACCACTTCTCGCAATCAAACCGTCGTAACTCCCGCATTGATTCTGCACACCCCCTTGCTGCATCGTATACGAATTGTGAAGGAAGTCGTTCAGTTGCAGCGCCACATTGCCTTCCACCACCTCCAGCGACGACGCGTCCAAGCCAAACCCAAAACTATCTCTACTGTACAAGTCGGACCGAAAACCACCCCTACTCAAACCCATGTTATCCAAGGTTAACATCTTTATCCCGGTGCACCACCACACCCCACAATCATACAAACAAACAGACACAGGACAGGAAAGCCTTCCGGTCGCTTAAGCCGCCTCGCCACCACGGCTCACACTCACCCCTCTCCTACTTGAGACACCATCACAGGTTATCATATTCATTCGAAATACAATTAGGCTGGACAATCAACGCAAACAAAAACTATTAAAGTACTAGCTGAAGGTCCAATCTCCATGCCAACGCCTGAATACCTCACTCATTAAATCAAGCAATTATAATAATAGAAAAAGCAGAACATGCTTTTTTCAGAGGCAGATATAGACTTGCGGTCTCCTTCTGCTTCTTCCTGAAGATTGAGCTCAAGGATGAACTTGTGAAGGGATGCAGCTGAGGATCCCTGAATATATCTTATGTTGATATTTGATCGGAGGTGAGATAGTAGATGCGATGCTGTTATATTACAACATTTTCGACCCACTTTCGTCCTGCTGGAGCTCACCCACAACCGCAGCGAGGGAGGTAAAGAATACCGGACCAGTCCAGACCTGGCACAGGCTGCAGTAAAAACAGAAAAAAGAGAAAGCAGGGATCGGTGGTAGCAGTGCCTCCAGTTTGGCCCCTTCCTCAAGTGGCAACAGAATATCTGGACCCAGCGCGATAAAGCGAAAACACCGCACTTGTTAGACAAGCGCATCCCGACAAGAGCAACGTGGCCACTAGTGATCCACTCTAATACAATGCCCTTCGCGGCAGCAGCAGAGGGACGGAAGCCCTCTTGAAACATTCAACTCGGCTGCCATTACCTTTGGGATTTCCTGGATCTTTGGCTTAGAGTCACACCTGATGGGAGGGGTTAGCGAACGCGAGGAGGATGTGGATGTATATTTTAAGGCCCTTTCGGTGGGGAAGGTGCTGCAAACAGAATTCGGACCCTGGGCCGAGGTTGGGAACTTGGAATGCACCGACTTTGTAACCTCGACGGAGCTTTGCCCATTCCCCTTCCGGGCCCCAAGGCATGAGAGAAACAGTACCCCTATGCTTGGTGGTGCGGTTGTAGGTTAGCCGACACGCCGAGAGTAGGGGCCAGTAGGTACGATGAACAGAATCCGGAGGGGCGCCTGCACGCAGCATGCCCCTGCGCTTCATCGTCCAGGGCGTTGAATTCGGCCCTATCCTGCCTCCGGGCCCCCACCCACACCTCTCTCTGGTTCCTTGCTCCCTTGCCTTTCACATGCTGCATGAGCACAGCAATGATCACCTTGTTTTCAGAATCTACTCCTGCATCCTTCTGACTCCATTGCCTGCTTCATCTTCCGCACTCCGATCTAAAACTTGTGTGGTAAATTTACTCTCTCCCTTTCTCACTCACCTACACACCACTATCACAAAAAAATTAAAAACAATACCTAGATCTCCTCTGTTATGGAATCCAGCTTGACTGGGTTGTAGTCTCTAGTTAGTTTAGTTTGGTTATGTTCTGCGAAGGCTGTACAGTGGAATATTGATTCTGTGAGGGAAAGATTACTTTACTGATGTGAAAGGGGTGGTTTGTTTGCAGCATGGTCCATCATGTGTCAGGTCAACCTGAAGTGCACACTTGGATTCAAAGTTCCTGGAAAAGGTGTGTTCACAGACAAAGTCATTATCATGTGAAGACATGCTACCATTTTGTCTAGATTTGGTGGGTTTAGAATTGATTTGTGTTAAGTGCCTGAACTATTTGTATGCACAATGGTTATGGATTCATGTGTCAGTAGAGGAAAATAAAAATCTAATTTTCTCCTAAGATAAAAAAGAAAAAGAAATAGGATGCTATAGTATAGTATGTGTGTTGCACTTGCATTTGTATGTATTGATACATAGTTCTTTGCATTTGTTACAACAAGATATGCATCATTTCTTTACTTCTGAAGTATGGTTTGCATCACCCCTAATATTATACAAAAGGTTTATGTTTTGAGTATCATGATGAATGATGCATGATGCTATCATGATGTATAGAGTATGTGTATATACATATGTATAGTTGTGTGTGTGTGTGTGTGCATGCACACCTACATATGTACACTATAAAAATTAAAAATAAAAATAAAAGACAAAAAAGACAAAAAGAAGAAGAATAAATAATGTATTTTCTCAACAAAATTGTTCCTCTCATTTAACTCTACTAAAAACTACTTACAACTGTACCAACAACTAATTCCTTGGATAAATCTATACACTTAATAGTGAATTATTAAAACAAGTGTAAGTTTTGATGAAAAAAGTCTATGTTACTCTTGAATTTGTATGTAATGTATACTGTGTCATTGATGAAATCACAAAAAAGACATATCATTGAGACACATCATACAGCAGTATAATATACACATCATGTGTGCATGTATATACACACACACACACACTCACATCTATACATATATATATATATATATATATGCGATATGTAATGGTTTAACAATTCCATATAAGAGGAAAAGTATTTCTTGTAGATCGAAATTGTATACTTATAAATTCAGCATGATAATCAACATAACCAAACTGATCAAACCAGTTTGTATTATGTATTTTAAATTGAACCACATTACAATTTCAATCTATTAGCATGACAAGACACTAGCAACACCTTCAAGTAAGATCAATGGTGAGTGATAATTATAATGCTGTGTATTAGAAGAATAAGTGAAATTTTACTTGATGTAAAAATACTGTAGAATAATGTATTAGTTGTATTAAAATAGCAATTGAAACATGATAGTAGGATTAAAGAGCATGTGAAATGATACGTTTTATACAATATCAAAAAATAACTTTTAGATATTGTAGGGATATTATAATTTTCATAAAAAATAAAAAATAAAAAACATTTATTCTTGAAAAAAGACAACCATCACTAATTGAGAGGAAGTTGTAGAGTTGAAGGATAGTTGAACCCATGAAAAATACATCCACCATTGAAATCTCACATGTTGTTATCTACTCAGAAAAAACATATGTTTTTAAAACATATGTTTTTAAAACATTAAGTGTTGGATACTTGAGTATGCAAGATTTTTCAAAAAAATCATACCTTTGATACATTTAAGTATGGGAACAACAAATTTTTTTTGAATATTGTTTATAAGCATTTTTAACTCAAAATATTCCAAATGATCAAACACATGTAGAAGTTTTGGGTATATTTTAACTTTCATAGTAATCATGTATTCTTGAATAAAAATAACAATCACCAATTGAGTCGAGGTTGTAGAGTTGGACCAATGGAAAATGTATCCATTCCTGAAGTGGATACATTAATGCAGTCTGTGGTCATGCTTTGAAATCAGTGTCTGACATTGATGTTGTTGTGACTTGAAAACAAGGGATAAGAAAACTATAACAATAATAACTTTTCACCAATTAGATTATGAATATACACACATGCATACACTGCAGATAAGACAAGAGCTAAGAGATAGTTGTGTTGTTCTCTACTTTGAAAAGACTCATTTTGTAAAACAATAGTGTCGGATACTTGAGTTTGTATGTTTTTTTGTAAAGAATTATTGTGATACATTTAAGCATGGAATTAAATAATCTTTTTAAAATATTACTTCTGATATATATGTATCCACTATTTTATGTTGAAAAAATCATTTATAGAATACAAATCACCAAAGCAATAATGTCACAAAAAAAATCCCATGGATTCCATGGTTGATTTCAAAGATGAAACTCCACTCAAACTCATGGCTTTAAATCTTATGCATGGACCTTAACAATAGAAGAGACTAAGTGTTTTTCAACCCACAATGACATTCAAATTTTGTCATTACTTCCAATACCAATGATGTATATATATACACACAGACACACACAATTTTTTGACTCTGAAAGCAGGTGGGAATAATGACTAACAAATGCAGCAATGAGCAAATTGTTATTAAAATGCCTTCCATGTGGTGGTTTGCCCTACTATCTCTTAGCTTTTGTCTTATTCGTAGTGCATGTATAATCTAATTGGTGAAAAAGTTATTGTTGTTATAGTTTCCTTATCCCTTAAGTTTTCAAGTCACGACAACATCGATGTCAGACGCTGATTTCACAGCGCGACCATAGACCGCGTTATGGCCATCTCCACTCACGCAACTCTAAATGACGCGCTAACAAGCTCCCTGTATAATAAAGGCCCCACCATTGTACCCAATCTTGTCTCAAGTGCCGGCCCCACCGGTCCACACGATACACACCAACCCAGAAGAACATTTGCCTGACACGTGAGGGGATCAGTCCCAGTGGGCGACTTTGTAGTGGTAAGTAACCCTCTTGCATGTCTTTAGATTGGAGCATGGGATTTAGAGTGGCTCCAGGCATAGTACCAGTTGAGCAGTGGGTGGGCCAGGGGGTAGTGAAAAGGACACGCCATAGATGTGATGCGGGTCTTATACAGTGCCACGGTGGGGATGCTTTGATTCGTCACGGCGTCGCGGGGGCGCTGGTGGCGTAGGGAAGAGGTCGGTGGAGTTCGATGCCGCGTGGTTGGTAGAATGGGTCCGCTGCAAGGAAACGGAGGCACGGTTTCCAGTCATCGGCCTTCTATCGTGGAAGAACTGCCGGGTGACGTGTGTGTGAGAGGAAAGTAAATCCGCGATGCGGTGAAGCAGGCATCGACATTTGCTCCACAAGTGGGGAGAAAGCCCACTTCGGAGGCTCTGACGGACTGGATCGATGGATGGTTTTCTTTTGTGTGTGTGTTTTTTTTTTTTAATTATTTCCCCAATATCTCGACAAACGCAGTGACGTCGTCCTACGGACCGAAATTTCAGCAGCCATGCTCCTGGATCATTCACCAATAGGGTTCCGGTGGTGGGCCTGCCAGGATTGAGCTATTGTCAGTGTCCAGACTGGCTATGATGGCTATAGAAGCACGTGTTGCTGGAGATTGTGTGCAGATTGGCGTCAATAAGCACATTCGGAGTATTGAGGCACGTGGAATGATGCAAACCAAATCCCCCAGACGCAGCAGGGTGGACAGTTACCGTGGCTTCTCTCTCTCTTTCTCTCTTTCTCTCTATTCGCCACTGTGATGGCGACTCCGTTGTCCCTCGCCCTGAACATGGCACATGAAGTGGATTCCTGCCTTTCACTGCTCATTAGCGTACAGTGCCTTCACGATGGATGGGTATTAAGGACCCTGATAGGCACTTGGTGAGAGCGTTGCACCCAGTCTGGGCCAGGGTCCGTTCTCAAGTCTGATGAGTACCCAGCGACTCTTGGGACCAAGTTCATCTGTAGTGTGTGTTGAATATTGGTGCATTCTTACTGGAGAAGATACATTCCTCCAATTTATGCTCCCCATTACTGTTAAAGGGCTTTTATGTTAGTTGAG